GAAGAGTAGTATTTGTAGTGTGGAAATTCCAAAGTTTAGAAATATGTATATACAGAAAGTAATTTCTCCCCAGCTTGTGGTATTTGATCCGCCGAAGATCGATCCATGACAAATTTTTGATTTCCTGCTCTCATGTCTATATCCGAGGCTTTTCTCGTCAACTTTGCGAAAGAGGATTCTACTTTTTTTTGAATTTGTAATTCCCTCTCTTTCTTTAGCCTTTCGGCTTCTTCTTGTAACCAACATTTTGTCGACACTTTACACATCCGACATGATCCTCTCACGTGAAATTGTACGGCTATCGATTTGAATATCGTGTCCACAACTTCAGCGCGAAGGAACAACGAATGCCTTCCGCCTTCGATCAACGTTAACCTGCAGTCCGGCATATTCTCCTCCATCCATTGTACCGCCGATACCGGGACTCGCTCGTCCTTTGTCCCGTGAAACACGTGAACGGGGAGATCAACATCAGTGTATGAAAATCCGAAAGGCCTATGCCTTTCAAAGCACATCATCAAATCATTATTTGCGCCTGCCAAATTTTCGGCGAAGGAAGCCTTGAGAATGGCGAGCCCGAGTTGTTGTTTTTTCTCAACACCCGAAATTGGGGCAGCCAATGCACCGGAGGTTCGCTGTGACGCCGGTTTGGTTGAATAAGGTTGGCGACCATGGATCATTTGTTGTATTGATATACCGGCTGAATTCGTGAATTTCATTATAGGGGTAGGAACGAATCGCAACCACTTGAAATTATTTGCCACGGTGGTGCTCACCCAGGGGCACACAAGATAAATGGTGCCCTTGATCCTCTGAGGAATCTTTATCGCACAAGCGAGAGCGTACGGGGAACCAGCGCTATGAGCCATCAAGAAGAATTGCGGTATATCGAGTATATTACAAAGTTCATCTATCACACCTGTAAATGTGAAAATTCGTTTATCAGTGATCGGTCATTTGCTGCTTGACAAGCGAACGGACAGAAAAGAAAAGTAGATTATCAATTACCTGGCCATTTTAATACTTCTTGTTCATCCGATTTCACATCGTCCGAAAGTCCAATTCCCGGACGGTCAGGGCATATTAACCTTAGACCATAACTCAACGCCAATTCATCGAAAAAAGCAATAAAATATCGCACACAACCCATACCCAGGAACACGAAAACCGGAAAACCATTCCTATCTCCAACCTCGGAAAAACTGATCACCCTACCAGAATTTAACCTTACGCGTTGTGTTAAACGAGGAGCAGCCAAAAACATGGTGATATCCAGGTGATCCTCGTCGTCGATTGTCTGATCGGATGTTAGAGAAGGTGTCGAAGGGGATTGCATGGTGAGAGTGGTCGCTTGACTTGAAGTTGGTGTGTGCGGAGAGGATTCGCAGGATGAAGGGTTCGATGATATATCGGTAGTTATGGTGAGCGAGGATGTGCTGGATGAGGAATTTTCCGGATTCGGTTCGACTACCACTGGTAACTTTTTTTTTTTGAGAATAGAAGTCGGAGAGTTGATAAAACTGGAATTCGAATCCTCACGTGACGTAGAAACGGACACCGATCTCTTCACCGAAGACTTTTTTTCTGGAGTGTCCGTGGGCTTGCTCGTGACCGGCGAGATTGGACGTGACTTTTTTTGTACGGTAGGGGAAGTACTGCTTGACACTTTAGCGGTTGATGTGTCAAGCTTTGGTCGTTTTGATAAAAAGAATTTGCTTTTTGTAAATTTTGTTTTCGGAGAGGTTGGAGGGGTTTTATTTTTTGCGACCTTTAATGATTTCTGTTTTGTTTTGTCCAAGGAAATTGACAAAGTTTTGGTTTTACTCGTGACGCCACCACCTGATGAGAGAGCGCTAGTAAAGTTCGTGGGAGAAGTAGAGGAAAGTGTGCGTTCTGGATGTACGTTCATATTCTTTCCGGCTGGATATATAAAAGTGAATTCTATGTTTTGGCCAAGCTATCTTCTATTCAGAGGGCTGATGAGCAACGTTGCATGCAGTATGCACAGAAGTAATAAGTATTTGCGAGAAAGGAAAGGAAGGGTCGTCCGGTCCGGACGCGTAGGCTTTGAGAAGCCGCAAATAGGAGTTTCACACTTACGCTCTATGAAAAAAGACTGCCTGTTTACTTGATTCTGAGGATTATCTCAGCTTTCTCTTTTACCTTTTGCGGTTGGACGCATAAAACACATCAAGATATATTTCAAGAAACCTATTATTATTATACAAAAACAAAATTTGCGCGTCTAAGGATCTTCGTAAAAGGTGTTTCTGATTTTATAAAGAAGGAAAGTGAATGGAAAGAAGTGAAGTGGATGAGGGGAGAAAAAAGAAAAAGGATGATGACTAGTAGAGCTATTAGGGCATATACAGTACAGAGGTTATTAAGATTTACTAATGTAAGGCTATAATAATAATTAAAAAAAAAAAAAAAAAGAAAAAAAAAAACGAAAAAGGTAAAGTGAAGAAAGAAAGTGACAGTGCCGTAAAATAAAGATATACACACACACACGGCAGAAGAATGGGAATACGTAAGTTGATAATGCCTGTGAACACCACATTGCAGGCTGAATGTAACAGGAATGAACTAATATTATCAAACGCTCATTATCACTCTACCCAGGATACCTATGCTATTGATCTTATGCGCGATATTTGGACATTGTAACAACGTCCAATGTAAGTCACATTGCATTTTAATTATGTTAATCTGATTATTTAATGGAAGTCACACGTTGCACAATCCTCAGTTATTGTGAATATCATGATCATTTACTTGATGAAAGTGAATAACTGTTCGGAAAACTTCCTGTAATAGAATTAAACAACCAATCAATCAAGAAAGAAAGGGAAAAGGAGGGAAAGTACATCGTACATGTATCAGATATAAAAAAGGATAATTATTTTTCGTCGAGTATTTGTGTTTGTTTATACGTTTTAATATCAAATGTTTGTTTCACTAATTTGAAAATTTACAATTTGTAACAGTGAACGGAAATGCAGGATTCTAAGTGGTACTTTAAAAGCCGAAACCGAGCGGATGGTAATCGTAAATCTTAAATCAACCACATTAAATACCTATAAGGATTTTCCATGTAAGTCGATGAAATAAGCAATGTCACCAGTTATAAGTTTGTACGAGGGTTTATTGCAGCTACGAGTGCGAATTTCCCCACGGTTCATTTACCTGCGCTTTATATATATTTCCTATCCAGCCTTAGTCGGATATAGCGTGATCACCGGGCATTTTTAGAGGTCCCTTAACGATTCAAATGAGGAAATAATCCACCGTACACATAGTTTACACACAGTATGTACGGGTAATCTTTAACGGTAGCCGTGTTTCCAGGTGATAGATGCGTCCGACCAAACTTAATTTTATTTATTTTCATTAATATTCGTTCGTAAAAAATTTAGTCGTATACGTATTTTGCAATTCATTATGCCTTTGTTTTACCGAATGGGGAAAATCAAACTTAATTTTTTAAATTAGCAAACAACTAATTACTCCTTTAAACTTTTTATGATACATTTAAAGCCTACAAAAACCTCATTCTACGCAGGTCCGGCAATGTAGTTCAAAGATTGTTGGTGTACGATAGGGTAATAGGAGATCTCTTGCTGAGAACTCGAGCAATGCGCCACATTCCGGAATTTATAGATGTCTTTGCCCCATCCTGCCGCAACTCTTTGGTTCTTCTGATTATCGACCTGTATACCGGGGAGGCATGGGTAAACTCGTGAAGGTAGTTCAAAACAAGACGGTGAGCTGTTGAAAGAGGTTTCAATCTTCATCTTGCCAAAAAAAGGAATGCACATATCTTTCGTCACCTAGTCCAAGGAAATTCAGTTGTTTTGTTCAGTAAAAGGAACGGCAGACGACACAATTTTCTTGTCTCTACTTCTTTCTACTTCATGTTCTTAGTTTTCTTCGATGGATTTTTCGTGACGTGAATTTGATCTTTATACAAATAGGATAGATTAATTTCCATCTTTAGGAGGAATACCATTTCGATTGTTCTCTTTGTTCTGCTTGCTTCAATGCAAAAATAAAATACCTTTTTTGTGTTCTCCGAAATGCACCACCACCACCTTTTACTTTATAATAGCTAACTATCTTTGAACGTCAAGAGATCGTTTATGTCGTGCAATATGAATTTTATGGTGCAAACTCCTTGGAAAAACACATGTATCTCTTATTTCTCGTATTGGTTAGTCACTCGATATTCGAACATCAAAGGTAAACTTACGCGAAGGTAATAGGTGCAGGCGTATGTTTCGGTGCATTTGATACGAAAGACGATATCTCATACTAAATTATTATCCGATGTTAAAGTCAGACGTGGCTTATAATTAAATTCACACGAAGACAGAGATTTTATGTTTGAGTGAGGAATGTTTTTTAAAAAAATAAATTAATTATATAAAAAAAAATTTCAAGATTTTCACTATACTACTTTACAAATACAAATTGAATGACTAGTTACATGTAACGATTATCATCTTTTTTTTTTTTAAGTAAAATGATCTTTTTTTTTTGAAAGAAAAAAAAACAAAAACCGACATCTGTATTGTACAGTTACTGCATGACATGTCAACAAAGCCTTTAATAAATGTGGAATTAGTAAAAATATTTCTTGCGATGGTTCGATATTCAAAGTCTTAACCCTTGGGTTTTGCCACAGTAGTATCGTATACTCTGATGAGGTGAGCTTCTTGACCTGACTCGTTCTGAGAAAACGCAAAACCACGAGTTCTTCGTAATCGTTGTACCGCACGAACTTTTTTGACTGCTTTTTGGAATTGTTCCATACGCGGTCGGTAATCGGGAATGTTGAATTTTTGTATTTCCTGCACGACGTGGTAGCTTCGTGGATGGTACATGCGTTTCACACTGATTGAAGCATTTATTTTGGTTAGATCCCTTGAAGGATAATCGATAATAGAGAACCAAAAGACTTACTATTTCCATGCATAATCTCGCAGAAGACAAATCACTGGAATAAGCAAAACAGTGAAGTAAAATACTGGACTTGAAAACAGCTTTGGGACGATGCCATGGTATTCTTCTGAAAATTTCAGTTTCGGAGCGATCGTGCCATAGATGATGATGAAAACCACCCAGAAAACGAATGAACCAGGGATAGCAATATAGGTATATTTCGTCCATAAACTAAAAAAAAAGAAAATGAGTTGAGGGTTTCTCAAAGGAAAATTCACAAAAAGAATTATCAAAGTGCAATGACTTACTCTGTTATTAGCGCCGCTTTTCCTAGGACTGTCGCCAAAACTGCCGTA